TAAAAAAAATCCCCAAACCCCCTTCCCTCCTCTTTTTTTTCCTTTCCCTTCTCTTTCCTCCCTTACTTGTCCCCTTTCTCGCTTGGTAAAAAAAATCCCTACTACTAAAACCTTTGTTTCTTCCCTCTTGTACCCACCTTGGTTTTCCTTTTAATCTTTTTCTCCTTTCCTGTCCTTCCTTCTTTTTTCCTTGCGTCTTTTGCCTTAATCCTACCTCCCTCCTCCTCATTATTAAAATATAATCTTCATTTACCTCCTCCCCACCCCCCAACCCGCTTCTGCCTCCTCACTTCTCCTCCTTTTTTTTTCTTCTTGCAATCCTCATAAATCCCTTTTCCTGTATCTCCTTTCTTCCTCCTTCCTTCCATTTTGTCAATTTCTTTTTCCTTATACATCCCACCTTCATTTTTTCCTGTTCGCTCCTCCACCCCCTATCCCGCTCTTTTTTATCCCTCCTCCCTTCTTCTTAATCTCTTTCCTCCCTCCTGTTCATTCACCCCCCTTCTCTTACTTCTTTTTTCTTCCTCCCTTTTAATCTCTCTTCTCTAATCACTTTCGTTTTTTTTTCTCTTCTCTCTCTCCCTCCTTCCAACCTCCTCCCCACCCTCTTTCCCTTCTTATCATCTTTAGTTTCCCATTCCCCTTTCGCAACCTTTTTGTTTTTCATTCTTCTAAATTCTCCTCCTTCCTTCCTTCCTTCCATCTCCCGTTTCCCATTCTTCCCGACTGCCTTTTCCTCCTCCTCCTCCTACTACTACTACTACTCCTGCTCCAACACATTCCATTAGCCTCTTCTTCTTCTTTTTCCTCCTCTGTAACTCTTCCCCACTGCTCCACTTCATCTCAGCCTCTTCCTCCTCTCCTACTCTCCTCCTCCTCCCTCCTCTATCCATCTATTTTCCTTAACGCTCCCCATTCCAACTTCCGCTCCTCTTCCTCCTGCTCCATCCTACCATCTCAGCCTCTTCTCCTCCGCTTCTGTTTCCTTCATCCTCCTCCTCCTACTATCCAATCTCCTTTATCCTCTCCCCCATCCCTCCTCTTATCCAATCTTTTTCCTTGCACTCCATTCCACTTCTCCTCCACCTCCTCCTGCCTTTATCCAATCTCCTTTTCCTTCCCTGCAATTCCACTTTCGCTCCGCCTCTTCTTTCTTCTTCTTTCTTGCTTCCTCCTCCTCCTCCTCCTCCTCCTCCTCTCTTGCCCGAGAATCGCCTCCTTCTCCTCCTAACTCCTTCCTTTCTTCTTCCTCCCCATCCTCCTCCTTTCCTCCTCTCCTCCTCCTCTTCTTACCTCCTCCCTCCTCCTCCTCCTCTCCTTCCTCTCCTCTTCTCCTCGCCTCCCCCCCTACCCCTCTTGCCTCCTCCTCTCCTCTTCTGACTTCCTCCTCCTCCTCCTCCTCTCCAGATGCCGCCTCCTCCTCCTCTTCTTCTCCTCCTCCTCCTCCTCCTCACCCCCTCTCCTCTTCCTCCTCCTCCTCCTCTTCCTTCTTACTTCCTCCTCCTCCTCCTCTCCTCCAGATCGCCTCCTCCTCCTCTTCTTCCTCCTCCTCCTCCTCCTCCGCCCTCTTCCTCCTCCTCCTCCTCCTCCTGCTCATGCCTCCGCTCCTCCCTCCTCCTCAAGATCGCCTCCATCCTCCTCTTCCTCCCCTTCCCCCCTCCTCTCCTTTCTTCCTCCTCCTCGCTGCTCCTCCTCTTCTTCCTTCCTCCTCCTCCCTCCTTCTTCTTCTCCTCCTCCTCCTCTTGCTTCTTGCTTCTCCTCCTCCTCCTCCTCCTCCTCCTCGCTCTCTTCCTCCCCCCTTCCTCCTCGCTCCTCCTCCTCCTCTTCTTCTTCTTCCTCCTCCTACTCCGCCTCCTCCTACTCCTCTTCCTCTTCCCTCCTCTATTCCTTCCTCCTCTCTCTTCTCCCTCCTCCTCCTCAAGATCGCCTCCTCCTCTTCTTTCTTCCCTCCTCCTCCTCTTTTCCCTCCTCCTGCTCCCCTCCTCTCCCCTCCATCCTCCTCCTTCTACTCGCTGCCTCCTCCTCCTCCTCCTCCTCCTCCTCTTCCTCCTCCCTCTTCCTCCCCTCCTCCTCTTCTTCTTCTTCCTCCTCCTTCCTCAAGATCGCCTCCTCTCTTCTTGCGCGCGCGCGCGCGCGCCTCCTCCTCCTCCTCCTTCCTTCTCGCTCCTCCTCCTCACTCCTCCTCCTCCTCTCCTCCTCTCCTCCTCCCCACTCCTCCTTCAGATCGCCTCCTCCTCTTCTTCTCCTCCTCTTCCTTCTCCTCCTTTTCCTCCTTCCTCCTCCTCCTCTTCTCTTCCCTCCTCCTCCTCTCCTCCTCGCTATCCTCCTCCTTTCCTGCCTCCCACCTCCTCCCTCCTCCTCCTCCTCCCTCCTCCTCTCCTCACTCTTCCTCCTCCTCCTCCTGCCTACCTCCTCCCCTCCTCCTCCTCCTCTTTTCCTCCCCCTCCTCCCCCTCGTTCCTCCTCCTTATCGCTCCTCCTCCTCTCCCTCCTCTCCCCCT